CACAGAGCGTGAAGCCCGCGCTACGATCTTAGTTATCCTTGTCCCTCGAGTCCGTTGTTAGACTGGACAACGCGTATAGTAGGGATTCAATGTTTGGTGAATGAAAAATTGAGTTTTGCAGTTTTCCAAATCAATGAGAAATGCTTAGTTTTTCTGACCTGTGGTCAGAGGAAAATCTTACTCTGATGAAGACTTCTCTATTTGCGCATCACATTCCGGCTTCACGGAAATTCAAGGCCACATATGGCTAAGGTTCATTTGATTCCTGCAACAAGAAATTTATTGAACTACTCTGTCGGCTCCTGTACTGGGCACTGGGGATGCAAGAAAAGTCCGTCCCCGCCTGTAAGGAGCTTACAGTCTAATGGAAGAACTTAACAGTACCTCAGAACCTAGTGAGAAAACTTCCTGGTTGTCTAGGGTATTATCTGGAACACTGCCAACTTTCCTAAAAATATGAATCTAGACTTTACCAGAAAGCACGTTTTAGAAATGGAAGATGCAGTGAAAATCAAATAGCCAACCTTCAATGTAGAAAACATGAAACTGAAATAAGGAAGAAACTTAGGAAAGCTGAAAAAATTCCATTTTAAATACTATGAACAAGATTTAAATTTTAAAATTATTTTATTGTCTCTGGATGACATTTCATTTATAGTAACATTTATATACACATACATATACAAGTTGTGCATATGTGAGATGTGTTCCTTGGAGCTTTTGATAAAACTGGTATTTCCATTATTAATTCATTTAAAACTAAAGCGGCATACAGGTAAATTTGAGACTTTCCTTTTGATTATTTCCATTGTCATTTGAACAGGAGAAATTCTTGGGGTATAAATTTGGTATGATCTTATTCTGTAATGAGATGAAAATTGCCTTTGTAACCGTGGGTGGTAATTTAAGCATGTATTTTAATGGCTATTGACCAAGTTTAATGGCATCAAAAATATTTAAGTCTATCTGGATTTATTTTTATTGTTTCCCCTCCCCCCCCCACTCTTCTTTTTTAAAAAACAAATATGAAGGATCCTTGTGCAAATACAGAGCCTTTGTTGTTACTTGGCTGTACTTGGGCGCATTGCCGTTCATCCCTTCATCTAGCAGCATCCTTTGTCCATGGTATCTTCCTTGGCGGTAGCTGAAACGATCACTAACCTAGGCTTTCCCCGGGTTATGGTGAACCTGTCAGAGAGCTGGTGGTCCCAGAGACTGTGCACGCAGGGCTTGTGCAGCTCTTTAGACGCTAAGCGGGCCTGGTGATCTCCTGTCCCAGCTCGGAACAGATGAACACAGCGCGTATGCCAGCCTGTTAGAGGTAGGCACGTGGAGACTGTGGTAGGAGACAGAACAAACCACTTAGCACATAGAAAAATTTTTAAAGAAAAAAATCCCTAAATCCAAGCAACCTGAAATGAATGATTATACCTCAGGGCCGAGGGAATCACTTTCTAATAATTGATATTAACTCATATTTGTTATAGCCCTTTACATTTTATGAAGTATTTTACATACATCAGAACTCATTGGGTATTTATAATAACACATGAATATAACTTTTACTTTCTGTTATGAAAAAGTGAATTATACCGAGCATGCTGTTTAAGAAGGCAGGGAGGTACACTAACATAGCTGAAAGACTTGCATCAAAAATAATTTACAAGTTTTAAATTTTGGCACTTATGATATATACATTAGTTACCCAAAATTTCATATATATATATATATATATATATATGCTTTCTTTCATGACCAGCACTGGCTATTACTGAGTGAATTTTCACAGCTGTCCGTGGCTGCTGGTCATTTTAAATGGCGATGATTGTCATCAGGGTTATCGGACTATTTTTCCTGCTAAACGAAGATTTAACAGATGCTTGTGGATGCCAGTACCATATTCGGACTGATATGGGAAACACTAGGCTTCTAACAGATTCTCAGAGCATTTTTCCTATATTACACTTTCTGGAAAACAAAACTTTAACCATGACATAATGTGATCTTGGTTCTAGATAGGAGTTGGGAACCTTATCCTTGCTTGTTTGCCTAAAATTTTTGGTAAAGCCTTATCTTGGATGTAATAAGGAGAAATAACAAAATATACATGTACTTTGGGCTTCTGAGGAAAAAAATCAGATTTTCAAAAGATAGAGGGGGCGCCTGGGTGGCTCAGTGGGTTGGGCCGCTGCCTTCGGCTCAGGTCATGATCCCAGGTCCTGGGTTCAAGCCCCACATCGGGCTTTCTGCTCAGCAGGGAGCCTGCTTCCCCCCCCTCTCTCTGCCTGCCCCTCTGCCTACTTGTGATTTCTGTCAAATAAATAAATAAAATCTTAAAAAAAAAAAAGATTGAGAGAGGTCATGTCTGCTTTAGCCACTTCATTTTCACAATTAAAGATGAGGAACTACTAAATACTTGATGTTCCTAAACTTAGTTAACATAGCATTTCTGTAGAGAGCTTATTTTCAAGATTTTTTTTAAACGTACAGTCTGCCCCTCAAGATGGGGCTCAAACTCATGACCCCAAGATCAAGAATTGCATGCTCTACTGAGCCAGCCAGGCGCCCCAGTAGAAAGGTTTTTAAAACAAGTATAATTTATACTACACTTACCAACTATACCACATTACCATTTATAATATATTCACCAGTTATCATGAATAAAAAATAAACTAAATTTAGAGTAAAAAAAACCCAGATTAGCTTTTATGCTCTTAAGTGAAATGAGACCTTGAAATTTTAAGATGCAGTTTCCTCCAAGAGTCTAGGATTCCTGATGCCCTATGATTCCTGGATTAATATCCCCCTCATGATGTTTTGATCACAGCCGACCTCAAAAAGAGGACAAAGGTGGTTTTGTCGAGTTTCCTAATTTTTAATTCTCATCTGTGTGGCTCTATTTTTATACAAAGCTATTTGTTCCACATTTTTCTTTACAGCTACGTATCCTGCTCGAAGTCTTTCAGTTAGGAGTGGACTGTATGTATGCCCTGCAGTTTATGGTACTAATTCTAATGGAAATTTTCATTCTTATGAATCTTGCATGGTACAGAAGGTAAGTCAGCTCTGTAATAAAGAATTTACAGAGGATGCTAAACAAATTCACAGGCCATTTTCCCATCTTTATAAACAAAAGGTCAAAGTGGTAGAGTAGTTAAGTACCCAGGCTCTGGACTGAAGCAGCTGGGTTTAAATCCCAGTGTTGCTCTCCGCCCCCCGCCGCCCAGTGCCAGCTCTGACTCAACCTTTCAGACCCTCCATTTCTTCCAAAGTAATTTGGTGCTCATGTCACCTACCTTGCAAGGTAATTTGTGAGTGAGGGTTAGTAGTAGAGTGTGTAGACTGACACCATAGAAACTATAATGGTTGAAGAATCATGGACTGAAACTGAGTTGGGCAACACGTGGGTCTAGCATCCGACATTCAACTCTCTCCAGAGGGGTTGTAATATACGGAATCTTTGTTTCATCAATAGAAGCGCTGTACTCAGTAGCTTGTTTTGAATGTTAAGATTGGGTACTTTTGCCTCCAAAACTTTATTTTCCTTTACATATGTGGGCGTTTGAAAAAATTTATGGCAAACCAATGTTTACATTATACTTTGTAGTAATTTTCTTGATGGCTAAAAAATTTCAAATTCTTTTTAACATCCATGGTAAAATGATATAATTGTTAAAATTTGTCCTAGAGCCAAGATTGTTCCAAGGGAGATGTATGTAACCTCTGCACACGTGTGTGAATGGCTGTCTGGTAGGTCCTACAAAAAAAAAAATGTCATTTTTATTCATGTATTTGGGTTGCTTAAATATTTCTATAAGATTTGGGATTCTTTTCTTAGGGCCGGAATTCTCAGCATCTACTCCCTTGCGTTTTTCAATCTATCAGCCAGTTTAAGGGTAGTCACAATAATACAACTTAAAGACAAGATAAAGTGTTCATAAATCATTGTTTTAACAGCCAGCATAATACAGTAGAAATTGCCCTGAGCAAGGAATTAGGAGACTTGAATTCAAGTTCTGGCTCTGCCACTAATTTTGTAAGACGACTTTAGGTAAGTCACTTAACTTTTCTCATTCATTTGATGATGAGATTGATTACATTTTCTACCTCTAAAATGGATTTCATTTACTATTTTTTTAAATAATTAAAACACCTTCTGGGAGTTAACCACCTGAAAGGTACGGAAGTACTTACTGATGTTTAAGGTAGTGTTTTTCTAACTCTGATCTAGGAACCACCTGAATAAGGTTACTAGAGGTTTCCATTAAAAACAGATTCCTAAAAAAACCCAAACAAACCAGAAAACAGATTCCTGTCATCTCCCTGACTGAATCAGAGCCTCCTAAGGTGAGGGCCAGGCTTCTGTTTTCCACAAGCTCCTAAATAACTGTAACGCACCCTATTATCTGAGAACCACTGGCCTAAGAGAATGTGATCTGAGAGGGAACGAGCTAGCGTGTGGCTTAAATTACTCCAGCCTCTGGTGGATCCTTTTCTAAATATAATGTCATTCCAAGTGAAGACCAGAAGAAGGCTGCTTACTTCAGCAGGCCGGCCAGCCCTGTGACTGACCCGCGTGCTGTGTTCCAGAACAGAATATAAGAGGTCTTCACGTCAGCTCTTTGTCTTGACATCCAAGTCACTGACTACTACAGTTAGGTCGTGGCTTGCAGAGGACTGCAGCTCACCCCTCCCTGATGCTAAGGGTCAAGCTTGTGCCCCCTGGCTCAAGGAGTAAAGATGAAGAAAATACCACCTCTTTCCTCTCAATCTCCCCTCCACCCTAATACCATAACAAGTCACCCTGTGTGAGTCACATAGTCTGGCAGAGAAAACAAATTCTAAGCCACATGGTTCTCATCACTCTGACCAGATAGTGTACTAACTCAACGAATCCTCCTGTATACAACAGAAATGACCAAAGCCCACTCCTTCTCCTGTTTTCCTTTCTAAATGCTGTTGAGAGGAACAAAATACCAAGTAAGGACACATGCTAGAGATTTTTAAATTCATACAAGTAAATTACAAAGAGAGGTGGCAGTTATTTTTTCTAGAGTTTTACAACAAAATTCCCTTCACGGTGAAAAACTATGTATAATTTTAACAGGAAACTCAAAACATTTTTGTTGTAAGACTAACAGTTACGAGAATAATGCCATTATCTGTGCTCATTATAGAGAAACATAACAGCAACTTTAAAAGGGCAAGTATACTGATAAGATGGAATTTCTTTTTTAATGACCAGTATGCTGACATGGGACTTCTGGGTTTATTCAATATAGCGTCACGGGTTTCTCCTAACCCCGCCATAACTCCTGCCAGACGCCCACGAAATTCACACCGAAATCAAAAAAACAAGGAAAGAAATGAAGAAATTTGACAAGAGCTACCATGCAAAATAACCAGAAGAACTGAAGTTTAGGTGGCACAGGAGCAGAGGAATGCGGCAAAAGCTGCTGCTGCGTAGAGTCTAACTTGGCGAGGCCCCTACGATACCGGACAGCCAAGTCCTCAGGTCACAGGTGTGTTCGTGGACCCATAATAACCGGGATCTTGACCCAAACTTTTAAGATCTTCTAAAAAGGAAATACTTCACCCAAATTGAAGTAATTTATGAGTCAAACACCAGAAGAGTTCCTTATTTGATGTAAGTTGTGCCTAAAACTTTGGCTGATACAAAGAAACCCGTCCGCTAAGGCACCCTGAGGCAATCTGACAATGTGTTGGAGAGAACTTCGTCGTCAGTACCACGTCATTATGAGAGTACAGAGAACGGATCACCCGCAGGGGACTGGCTTCTTTGGGCAAACAGTCTATAAGTTCACTGCACTGTTTGTCAAATCCCAACAAGCGAATCCCGTAGCCATGTGGGGAAGAGACCATTCGCCCATCAGGGCTGAAGCAAAGTTCTTTGATATAACCCCTGCCTACATTGGCTTCTTCAATGTAATGAGTTAGTCGTAGAGAACAGCGAGGTGAGACAGGTCGCACGGGAGCTCCTTCTTGGAATTCATAGACACAAGTCCACTAAGGGGAGAGAAGAGAGAAACCAAAGTTACAGAGCCCCAAATAATGCTAAATATTTCTTTTTGTAAAAAGCTCAACAGACCATCAAAGCCACAGAATTGTTGCAAGAAACCAGATGACTGCTACCCCTCTCCCATCTACTAAAATGTGTAGGCCCCACACCTTATCTTCAGAAGCCAAGGTTATTCTGTGTGCTGTGACATACTATGACTAATGCCTTTTATTCCCTCAGGCTGCTGTGACTTCTGTGGTAATAATTCCTTTTTGTGAAAGTAACAACAACTTTGATACTTAAAATATTCTGAAGTTTAGACATCTAAGCCTAAAATAGCTCTCCTCCTACACACTTCAGAGGTCCTTGTCTCTTTTCAGTTGTGACTTCTAGAACCAGTGAGATCCTCAAAAGACTCCTGCTTTCCAGAGTGACGAGTCATGAGGTGATATAAGGCCCTTTCCCCAGTCATCAGTTCAGTCTTTCCCCAGGTTCCGCTGGTGGTTTTACTAATTAATTGATTAATTTTATTTGAGAGAGTCAGCATGAGCAGTGGGGAGGAGCAGAGCAAGAGGGAAAAGCAGACTCCCTGCTGAGAAGGGAGCATGACCGGGACTCGACCCCAGGATCCTGGAATCATGACCTGAGCTGAAGACAGACACTTAACCGACCAGACACCCAGACACCCCTCCCTTGGTTTTTAAAAAAAGAGCAAATTCTAAAACTCAATTGGCTTAGCAAAACCTTACATTTAGCCAGCTTAGCTGCAGCATCTCCCATCTGAAGTTCACTATGTAAAGGGCATGTGGCAGATGAGGGGGCAAGAATGAAGAAGCTGGACACAATCTGAGCTGATACTGGTTTAAAGTATTTAAACCTGGAGAGGAGGCTGGAGAGGAAGGAGGGGGTCAAGGGATAAAGGGACCAGGAGCATGCACGGCAGCGGCTGTTCCGCCAGCCCCGCTGAGGTGGAATGCTGCTGCTCCTACCTCCTGATCATCAGTGTTGCTTGAGCACCGAAGGAGAGTGGCCCAGCCCTTTGGGTGCAGCTGTAAGGACGTGATGCAGTTTCCACGGTCTCTCTCACCAGGAACTTCAGGGGTTAAGACTTCAAGACTATTTCGTGGTGAAACTCCTGATACGAAAATTAGGATGTGAGATTTATATTATCAAAGGATTAAGGCAGCTCATCAAAGCTTTGATTTCTGGCAGTCACCCCCTCTAGCCTTCATTCCTGCGTCAGCCCACCCCTTTTTTATTTTTACATGCTACCACATGTAAAAAGAAAAACTGGGCACAGCTGCAGGGGCACTATCAGTTAAGCAGCCAACTCTTGGTTTTGGCTCAGGTCATGATCTCAGGGTTGTGAGATCAAGCCCTGCACCAGGCTCCATGCTCAGCATGGAGTCCGCTTCAGATTCTCTCTCTTCCTCTGCCCCTCCCACTCATGCTTGCTCTCTCTGAAATAAATCTGCCCCCTCCAAAAAACCAAAAACAACAACAACGAAAAAAAACCTTCCAAACAAACAACTAAACACCAAAAACCATATATAGAAAAAAACCTATGGTGCCCCTTGATGTACAGTGTACATGTCTTTGGCATGGGGTTATGGGGAAAGGTTATGACCAGAACTAAAGAATCCAAGTTCCTGCAGCAGGAATCCATAACCTAAGACTAAAGCATTAAAGTAGACTAGGGATCCTTTTGATTAGGGTTTACATCTCAGAAAACTCTAAAAATCAAATTCTAGGACATGAAAGGAATCTGGAAAAGAAGTAAAAGATAATTCTCATCTCAGAGGACCTGGTGCTCTCTAGTCCAGAGAAGGAAATACTTGGAAGCCATGGAGACTGCCTTTATTATCAATAAAAGGCTATTATGTGTGCAAGGAGCAGGACTTATGGCCCCCCAAGGACAGTACTATAAATGATAAGCATCTATAATTTTGGAGGCAAGGGAGGATAGTTCACATATCAGTGTATCAAAACGAGGGGTTGGGAGACACTGCCAATCATACATACGCCCGGTACTCTGTTAGGGCCCATCTTGTCCTCCTTCCTAGGCCTCACGGAAGTAATTGCTACAGCTAGCCGTTACTACTGAGAGTTACATCCTATCCCTCAGGTATGTGGAGAACCACTTTCACAGACATCATAAAGAAGCAGTTTAGAACTTTAATATCAAGAGAAATATTTTAACACTTCTCTACCTGCGGAAGGAGTTGCTTTGAAGATTATGAGCTCCCTCTGTCAGACCCTTTGTGAACTGTTTCTCAAATAGATGTGTTATCTTCTTTAAAAGATTCCCTTTAGATTACTACAGCATTGATGGAAACCTGTGAAGCTCTAATTTACATTGTTATAACCAAACTATACCTAAATAATGATTTCACATGTGACCGAACTTTAATAACAATTTTAGAGAAAAACCACTATTTCAAGAATTCTGAAAATTGAACAAAAGCAGAAAAGAAACCCATCTAAATAAGTAAGTAGTGGCTTTTGAGCTCTGCTCCTTGGAGGTTCCTCCAGAGAGGGAACCACATGGGGATGGGATAGGGAAGACTGGTCAAGGAACTCCCTAATTTCACTTGAACCAGTTTTTGCACTTTATCTGTGCTACAATCCACAGCAGACTTCATGTCAAAAAGAGTTCTAGGGGCATCTGACTCTTGATCTCAGGGTCTGGAGTTTGAGCCCTGTACTGGGTGTGGAGATCACTTAAAAAAAAAAGTTCTAATCCTGAAATGGGATTGATAGCCTCAGCTCTATACAGCTACTATATCTGTCAAAGTATGGTGCGAACATTCTGATATCCTGAAGACCCAGGAGTGCCAACATTCACAACGACCTGATGTATGAGCCCCACCTCTTCTCTATACTCTGCCTAGGCTCTCCATACATTGTCTCTTCTCCCATTCCCAACTCTCTGTATCCTGAAACTGCTGTGTAGTTTGGTTTTCGGGTTTACCACTGCAACCAGCAGCTAACTACTCTTAAGTTTTGTGTGTTTTTTTTCCTCATGGATGGTTTAGCTCAATAAAGATTTTTCTCAATGATTATTAAGAGCCTTGTCTTATGTTCTGTAGCCAAAGTAGAACAGGTAGAATCTAGAAAAGAAGTTTCTGCTACAAATCAAAGAAAAAAATGTTACACATCTGGGCATAATCTCTAAATTTAATAGGAGGAATTTTTAATCTTAAATGTCATAGTCTTGAATACCCAAAGGAAAGTAGATAGGCTGTAGGTTTAGGAAGGGCTCTCAAACCACTCTACAAACATAAGCAGTCATGCAAAATAATCAAGTATGCAATTATCAAGCACTTACCAGGTGATACCACCTAGAAGAAACTAAATTAGAAGTCTAATGGATAGTCCCTCCCCTAAAGATCTAGGTAGGAGCCATGCTCATCTCCAAAAGGTGACCCAAAATTACAAAAAGAACCACATCTGGCCATCAGTCCAAAAAGATGAGGACAAACAAAAAGTTCTTAGTTGTGAACTGGTTTGGAGAAGTAGATGAAATTTGCATAGGTAAAAAGCATCTCATTTAGAGGGTGGAAAAGAATAGGGTAAACAGCTAGTTCTCCCAGAGCAGTGGGGGGGAAACGGGCACAAGCACAGTAGGGCCAGGTCGTAGCCCACTTTATCCCACAATCCCTCTAAGGCTGACAGGCATTGCTTGGATAAAGAAATGGGAGAGCAAAATGCCTACCAGGCTGGAACTAGGCAACTTTCACAAGCACCTGACAAACGCATTACCTTATACAGCACCCTCACATGCATATCTCATTTAATTTCCCTAACAACCTCAATTGGAATCTACATGTCCAAACTACTTTTTCTCTAATCTAGACCAAACGAAATTCAGTAAATAAAACCAAAGCTCAAATTCCAACAATGATGTAAGCCCAAGATATCCAACCCTAGAGACTGGTTAGCTTTTGAAAATGACTGAGGGTCAAAGAATATCCTCTTCTTTACTGGCTTTTGTCTGGATTAAAACTAAACCAAAGAAAGCTATTTGGTAGAATCTATTGTTGCAAGATTGTAAAATTCCACTTTTAACCTACCTTCTCTTTGTGAGGCTCGTGACATGTGTTTCTCAGAAGATGAATTAGAATCACTATGATGACAAGGTGAACTAGAAACTCGAGGACCAGATGAACTTGATGAAGTAGTCAGATCTTGAAAACACAAAAAGTTCTGACAGTAAACTTAGCAGAACTTAATAGCGTCTCAACTTTTTAATCATCTAGTTGAAGCATACTGTGAAAATCCATCTGAAACATGGCAAGTACATGCCCACTTAAAGCAGGCCTATAACTAAGACCAAGGTAGGCAGGGCAGCTCTTCGAAGTGTTCTATCTAAGGCCTGGGCCCTTTCTAAAATCTCTTCTACCAAGATTTGCTTAAGTAAAATAAAAATGACAAACCAAATAAACACAGGAGCATCTCTGGGTTCCCCATCACTTCTGTAGTAAGATGGAATAAGAAAATTCAATAAACATGAAAACTGAGCTGTTCATCAGCCCATTTACTCTTGGAATAGGGTCCAAATACCAGGTTCATTACTGAGAACAGTAAATGAGCCTTCTTAAGCATGCCAAACAATTGTTATCATTCATGGAATTATGTGAATACTACCTTTGAAATGCAATATAAACTTCATACTGAAATCTGTTGAAGAACAAACACCGAGTATCAGATAGTTGGATCTGATGTATTACTCCAAATAGCAATCTCTGTTTCATCCCACTCTTCAGTGGCCCCACACTTTTATGAGGATTTCTTCATCTAATTCCTTTTGATGTTATTATCAGAGTTACTCTTAGAAGACAGAAAATGTTCTTGGTTTTTGAATAAAAAAATACCAACCAGACCTTCTAAGTTACTACCTCTTACTAAGCTAAAGTTGATTATTAATGTTTAACCTAAAAATAAATTTCTGAATGTAAAAGGATTATACTCACATACTTATGAAATCCCCTGCTTTGCAAATAAATTGATAAAACTTAAATTTCTACTTTTAGTAGTGAATTTGGACAAATGCAATTACAATGGGGCCTGTACTTTCCCAAAGGAGTCTTCAAATGTGGCCCTATGCATACAGGAGAAAGAGTCCAACCATCTGAAGCTGATTTTTATTTATTTACTCTTTTGAAGCTGATTTTAAATAGTTATTTATAAACATTGCGTTTCAAATGCTTAAGTCTTTTTTTCTGGGTTTTTGTTCATAAACATAAAATTATAAATAGGTATGTTCCTGGAATAGCCCTCTTTTCCCCAAAGGTAATGAAATATAGACTCTATCACATAATGTAGATAAATTACAGTGCATAAGTTTTTCTGACCCCCAATTTCACTGAAGCATTCTAATGGAATCAGCAACAGGAAAAAGAATACAGTTTTAGGGGCATGTAGGTGGCTCAGTTGGTTAAGCAGCTGATTCTTTGTTTCAACTTGGGTCATAATCTCGGGGTCCTGGGATTGAGGTTCCCCCCTCCAGTGTGTTCCCTGCTTGGTGGGGAGTATGCGTCAGGCTTCTCTCTTCCTCTGCAACCTCCGCCACGCTCAAAAATAAATAAATAAATCCTAAAACAAACAAACCAGAATATAGCTTTAGCAAGAGGATATTTAGGGGTTGTGAAAGAGGATGGCACCAGCTACCTGGGTATAGACTTCTGGAAGTCTGGGATGTAATACAGACTTAAAAGTAAAGCTCTATATTGAATGTATCTTAAAAGCTCTGCTAGGTGGGGCACCAGGGTGGCTCAGTGAGTTCAGTGTCTAGCTCTCGATCTCAGCTCAGGTCTTGATCTCAGGGATGTGAAATAAAAATGAAATGAAATAAAATAAAAATAGTAATAAAGCTCTGTTGGGCTTCAGAAGCACTTAAAAAGATAGATCCTACCTTGGGTCACCATTAACTTTTTGAGATAGTGATGATTTAGAAATACTGATAAAAGATTTTCTGGAATGGGTGCCTGGGTGGCTCAGTGGGTTGAGCCTCTGCCTTCGGCTCAGGTCATGATCTCAGGGTCCTGGGATCGAGTCCCGCATCAGGCTCTCTGCTCAGCAGGGAGCCTGCTTCCCCCTCTCTCTCTGCCTGCCTCTCTGCCTACTTGTGCTCTCTCTCTCTGTGTCAAATAAATTAAAAAAAAAAAAAAAAAAGATTTTCTGGAAGATATCCAAATGGCCAACAGATACATGAAAAAATGCTCAACATCACTCAGCTATGAAATGCTATGAAATTTGTATTTCAGGGAAATACAAATCAAAACCACAGTGAGATACCACCTCACACCAGTCAGAATGGCTAAAATTAACAAGTCAGGAAATGACAGATGCTGGAGAGGATGCAGAGAATGGGGAACCCTCCTACACTATTGGTAGGAATGCAAGCTGGTGCAGCCACTCTGGGAAACAGTATGGAATTTCCTCAAAAAGTTGAAAATAGAGCTACCCTATGACCAGCAAATCGCACTACTGGGTATTTACCCTAAAGATACAAATGTAGTGATCTGAAGGGGCACGCGGACTGGAATGTTTATAGCAGCAATGTCCACAATAGCCAAACTATGGAAAGAACCTAGATGTCCGTCAACAGATGAATGGATAAAGATGTGGTTGGTGTACGTACACACACACACACACACACACACACACACACACAGGAATATTATGCAGTCATCAAAAGAAATGAAATCTTGCCATTTGCAATGACGTGGATGGAACCAGAGGGTATTATGCTAAGCGAAATAAGTCAATCAGAGAAAGACAATTATCATATGATCTTTCTGATATGAGGAATTTGAGAGGCAGGGCGGGGGATATTGAGGGCTAGGGAGGGGAAAAAAACCAAGATGGGATCGGGAGGGAAACAAACCATGAAACTCTTAATCTCAGGAAACAAACTGAGGGTTGCTAGGGAATGGAGGGGTAGGGATAGGGTGGCTGGGTTATGAACACTGGGAAGGGTATGCGCTATGGTGAGTGCTATGAAATGTGTAAGCCTGTTGATTCACAGACCTGTACCCCTGGGGCAAATAATACATTATACGTTAATAAAAAATAAATAAAAGATTTTCTGGATAGCAGAAAGCACTAAAAGAAAATATTTTTATAGTCAGTAGTCCTTCCTATTCCATTGGTGATACAGAAGCACAAATTAATGCTATGTCAGAAATTCATATAAGTCATACTTCCTTGGGAAAAAAGCTCTCAATGAGCTTTCCAAAGATGTCTTCAAATTTCCTTCCCTCCTTCCTGGTATCATTCTCAGAATGGAAACATATACCATCCCTTTGTGTGAAACTCTATGGAAAACTTCCTGAAATCAAAAAGGAAAAGCTTACCTGAACTTGATGTAGTTCTTCTTGCTCTCAAAATGGGATAGCTGCCTACTTCTAAAGACTTGGTTAAGTCAAGATCATGCAAAATCAAGAGATATCCAGAGGACGTTGAGATCAACATTTTGGAACAATCTGGTGTTAATCTCATTCGCATGAGAAAACGTGTGTGAAAGAATTTCTTATGTGGACACCCATCTTCTGTACACCTAACAGAAGAAATCAAAACAAAACCTAGAATTATCATAAATATAAGGATTTGGTTAACAGTCATATTTTCAATCTTGAAACTAGAATTTACAGTGTATGCTTAGCCTTATACACATGATAAAACTTTTTTTTTTTTTTTTGGCTCACCATTCCTTCTTTCATCTCCAACTTTCCATTTTATTCTTTCTTTCTGAAATATACATTTTAAAGTAAGATTTTGTTGAGGTAAACTGTCACTTTATACTGTTCTGAAAATATTCCACTCTGATTAAAGATTAAGCTGAGCATGTAAACTTCAGGTTAATAGTTGTGTCTTTCCGAATACTGGGGATAATATTCCACTGAGTCCTGGCTTCCATTGTTGCTATTTTTAAGTCTGCTATTAGGCAATTGTTACTTTGGACAATTTATCTTTTTTTTTCCTTTGGTCTCTTTGTCTTTGGAGCATTGCAGTTTCACTCTGATATATATTTAAATTTGGATTTCTTTCTATTTTACTGGGATTCTTTTGACTTTCTAATTCATAAGATTCATAATATTCATATATTCTGGGAAATTCTCCATCATTACTCCAATATTGCCTGTCACTTATTTTCTCTACTCTTTTGGAGTTCCAAATAGATGTTTGAACCATTCACATTTGATTCTCCTTGTCTCATAGCCGCTCTTTCTTATATTCTATCTCCTCATTTTTGTTACATTCTGGATAATTTTTAGTATCTAGCTTCCAAGCTATTTTTTAAAGTTGTGTCTAATCTGCTACTTGACCCACCCTGGGTTTTTTTTTTTTAATTTTTAATCACTAAAAACTACATACTTTAAATTTTTTAAATTGTTTCTTGTGATAAATAGGAACACTACTGATTTTTACATTTTGATCTTATGTCTAGCAATCTTGGTTAACTCATTAATTCTGATAATTTGTCAACAGAATTTCTAAGATTTTTCACATAGACCAGTCAGAATACTGGTCTATGGGCCAAGTCTGGCCTGTCTTTATATAGGAAGTTGGTTGGGACACAGCAATATCCATTTATGTATTGTTGATGGCTGCTCAGAGACTATACAGCACACAAAGCTGAAAATATTTATTATACAGTCCTTTACAGAAAATTTGCCAACCCTTCATATAGACAATCATATCATCTGTGAATGCGATTTTTTTCATTTTTTTCTCCTTCCAATCCTTATATACTCATTTTCCTGCACCAACTAGGACCCTATCTTCTGCCACCCCAAAACAGTGGTATACAGTAGTAGTAATAGCAGCCATGTTCTCTCCCTTCCTGATTTTTTAAGATTTTATTTATTTATTTGACACAGAGAGAGAGATCACAAGTAGGCAGAGAGCAGGGATTCTGAAGCGGGGCTCAATGCCAGGACCCTGGGACCATGACCTGAGCTGAAGACAGAGGCTTTAACCCAGTGAGCCACCCAGGCACCCCTTCCCTTCCTGATTTTAGAGAAAAAAAAAATTTTTTTTTTTAGAGTAAGCTCTTTTTTTTTTTTTAATTTATTTATTTAACAGACAGAGATCACAAGTAGGCAGAGAGAGAGGAAGCGAAGTAGGCTTCCTGCTGAGCAGAGAGCCCAATGCAGGGCTCGATCCCAGGACCCTGGGATCATTACCTGAGCTGAAGGCAGAGGCTTCAACCCACTGAGCCACCCAGGCGCCCCTAGAGTAAGCTCTTTACTCAATGTGGGGCTTGAACTCACAACCTTGAGATCAAGAGTCACGTGCTCTACTGACTGAGCCAGCCAGGTACTCCTATAAAGGAAACTTCTAAAAGTTTCACTATTTAAAAATATCCTGTTTTAGTGTACACTTTTTTTTTTTAAGATTTTATTTATTTATTTGACAGAGATCACAAGTAGGCAGAGAGGCAGGCAGAGAGGAGGAAGCAGGCTCCCTGCTGAGCAGAGAGCCCGATGCGGGGCTCGATCCCAGGACCCTGAGATCATGACCTGAGTCGAAGGCAGAGGCTTTAACCCACTGAGCCATCCAGGTGCCCCTTAGTGTACACTTTTGATGAGTTTCCATTTTTAATGAAGTCTAACAGCTTTACTGAGATATAATTTACATATCATAAATTCACTCATTTTAAGTTAACAAGTGATTTTTAGTAAATTTAAGGAGTGTGAAATCATCAACTCAATTTTAGAACATTTTCATCATCCTAAAAAAGACCCTCCTGCCCACTAGCTGTCTCTCTGTTCCTACTCCCAGCCATAGGCAGCCACTAATCTATTTCTGTTTCTATAGATCTGCTTATTGTGGACATTTAAGAATTATACAGCAAGTGATCTTTTGGTTTGGCTTTTTTCACTTAGCATACTGTTTTTTGAGCTTCATCCGTACTCTAGACACGTATTAGTACTCTGTTCCTTTTCATTACCAAATACTCTTCTATTGTATAGATATACCACATTTTGTTTATTCATTTACCACTGAATAGGTATTTGTACTGGTTCCCTTTTGGGGATATTATGAATACTGTTATAAGCATCCATGTACAAATCTTTGTGTGGTGACAGGTGTTCATTTCTCTTGGGTAGATACCTAGGAGTAGAATGGCTGGTCAGATGGTAACTCTATGCTTAACATTTTAAAAAACTACCAAACTTTTCTAAAGTGGCTGCATTTTACATCCCTACCAGCAATGTAGGAGGATGCAGTTTCTCCACTTTCTTGTCAATATTTGTCTTTTTTAAATTAAAGCCTTCTTAGTGGATATGAAAATTTTCCTCATTTTGGTTTTGGCTTGCCTTTTTCTTATGACTAATGACGTTGAACATCTTTTCACGTGTCTATTAATCATTTGTATTATCTTCCTTGGTGAAATGTCTATGCAGATATTTTGCCCATTTTTAAATTGGGTTATTTGTGTATATATGAAGTGAGTTGCAAGAATTCTTTATATATTTTGGGCACAAATCCTTTATCAGATATAATTTACAAATATTTTCTCCCATGCTGTAGTTTTTCTTTTCACTTTCGTAATGGTATCATCTGATACACAAAAGTTTTTAATTTTAATGAAGTCCATTTTATCTATTTTTTGGAATCACTTGTAATTGGTTTGCATGAAGATTAAATCCCACGTTTTCTTCTATGAATTACGTAATTCTGTCTCTTACCTTCAGGTTTAAATCCATTTTGAGTTACTTTTTTTTTGATATAAGGGTCTAAATTAATCTTTTTGCATGTGGATACCCAGTTGCTCAGGTATCATTTACTGAAAAGACTATCCTTTTCTGAACCACTGAATTACCTTGGCACCTCTGTTGAAAATCAACTGATCATACATGCAATAGTTTACTTCTGGACTCTCAAAATTCTGTTCCTTTGATTTATATGCCTATCCCATGCCAGTAAACACTGTTTTGATTACTATGGCTTTGCAGTAAGTTCTAAAATTTCAACTTTGTTCTTCAAAGATTGGCTCCATATAAATTTTAGAATCAGCTTGCCAATTGGTCCAAAAAAGGCAGCTGGAATCTTGATAGGGATTGCACAAAACCTATAGATGAATTTGTAGAAAGTTGCCATCTTTAAAAAAAATTTGTTTGTCCTCTGTAATTTTATTTATTTATTTATTTATTTATTTATTTTTTTAAAGATTTTTTTTATTTATTCATTTGACAGAGATCACAAGTAGGTAGAGAGACAGGCAGAGAGAAAGGAGGAAGCAGGCTCCCCGTTGAGCAGAGAGCCCGATGCGGGGCTCGATCCCAGGACCCTGGGATCATGACCTGAGCCGAAGGCAGAGGCTTTAACCCACTGAGCCACCCAGGCGCCCCAATTTTATTTATTTTTTAAGTAAGCTCTACACCCAATGTGGGGCTTGAACTCATAACCCCAAGATCAAGAGTCACATGCTCTCCTGAACCAGCCTGGTTACCCATCTTAATGATGCTGAAGTCTTCCAATCCATGAAGATGGAATGCCTCTCCATTCATTTACATCTTCTTACATTTCTTTTAGAAATGTTTTTATAGTTTTCAGTCTACAAATCTTATACTTCTTTTGTTAAATACATTCCTAAGTGTCTTATTTCTTTAGATGCTATTATGAATGGAATTTTCTTCATTTTTAGATTGTTCATTGCTTGTAAGTAGAAATACAATTGATTTGTATATATTAATCTTGTATATCTTGTGATCTTGATGAACTTGTTTATTAGTTCTAGTATTTTTGTGGAATCCTTAAGATTTTCTACAAGATCATACTTGCACAAGAACATTACTTCTTTCTTTTCAATCTGGATGCCCGCTATTTTTTCTTTTCTGACTGTACTTCCAGTGCAATTATACTTCCAATACAATATTGAATAAAAGTGTTAGGAGCAGACATCCTTGCTTTGTTCCCAATCTTAGGGTGAATGTATTCAGTCTTTCAGCATTGACATGATTTTAGCCAGGGGTGCCTGGGTGGCTCAGTTGGTTAAGCATCAGCCTTCAGCTCAGGTCATGATCTCAGGGTCTTGGGATCAAGCCCTGCGTCTTTGGGCTCCCACCTCAGTGGGAAGTCTAACCGTTCCTCTCTCTCTACCCCTACCCACCCTTGCTAGTGTGCTCTAATAAAAAAAAATATTTACAAAAATGATTTTAGCCATTAATTTCTCATAGGTGTCCTTTATCAGATGTCTAGGGAATAAAAGTTCCCTATTATTCTCAGTTTTATTACACATGGGCATTGGATTTCTGTCAAGTGCTTTTCTGCCTTTCTTGAGATGATCCTGTTTATGCATTCTGACCTTTATTAATACAATGTATTATATTAATTGATTTTTGGATTTTAAACCAACCCTCTACACCTGAGGTAAATTCTATTGCGACATATGATGCTAGGTTTGATTTGCTAATATTTTGTTGAGGATTTTTGTATCTATTTTTCTTCCTCTTTTTGTTTTTGAGCAATATTGTTCTGTAGCTTTTGTTTTTTTTTTAAAGATTTTATTTATTTGACAGATAGAGATCACAAGTAGGCAGAGAGGCAGGCAGAGAGAGAGGGAGAAGCAGGCTCCCTGCTGAGCAGAGAGCCTGATGCGGGACTCGATCCCAGGACCCTGAGATCATGATCTGAGCTGAAGGCAGAAGCTTTAACCCACTGAGCCACCCAGGGACCCCTGTAGTTTTCTATTCTTATGACATTTGTCTGTTTTGGTATCAGAGTAATAATACCAGCCTCATAAAATGAGTTTGGAAGTGTTCTCTCCTCCTCTATTTTTTGGAAGAATGGTATTATTTATTCTATAACTGTCTGGTAAAATTCACCAGTGAAGACTTTTGGGACTGGATTTTTCACTGTGGAAAGATTTTTAAATTACCAGTTCAATTTTTTTACTTGCTTTAGGTCTGTAGGTCTATAGATTTTCTATTTGTTCTGGAATCAGTTTAAGTAATTTGTGACTCTCCAGGTATCTGTTATCTAAGTTGTCTCATTTGTTGTCATAAAGTTGTTCATTGTATCCCTCTATAATCCTTTCAATCTCTGTAAGACTGATAATATCCCCTTTTGTTTTTAATTATGATTGAATGTTGAATTTTATTCCTCAATTAAAACAATCGTATGGACTTTCTGTTTAATCTATCAATGTGATGAGTTATATTAATAGAATTTCTACTGACAGGTGTGCCTGGGTGGCTCAGTCGGTCATGCCTTCAGGTCAGGTCATGATCCCAGTGTCCTGGGATCGAGCCCCACATTGGGCTCCCCACTCAGAAAGGGGCCTGCTTTTCCCTTTCCCTCTGCCTGCTGCTCTCTCAGCTTGTGCACACTCTCTCTCTTTCTGTCAAATAAAATAGATTAAAAAAAAAGAATTTCTATTTTAAGATTTTAAGTGACCTCTACAACCAACATAGGGCTCAAACTCACAACGCTGAGACCAACAGCTGCATGCTCTTCCGACTGAGCCAGCCAGGCACACCAGATATACCATCTTTTCACTCCTTGAAGAAACCCAACTTGGTCATGATATTTTAATTAATATCTTAAAAGTTTCAGTTTCCTTCTATTTAGAATATTTGTATCTACATTCACATTACAGATTGACCTTTCAATTTTTCTCTTCTAATATTATCTTTATTGAGTTTATATATTAAGGTTATACTAGCTTCATACATGAGGTAAGGAGAATTCCCCTTTTTCCTGGCATGTGAACTTAATAAAATTGGAATGTTCTGTTTCTTGTACTATCTTACAGAAGTCACCTGTAAAACTGAAGGCCTGCTGTTTTACTAGTAAATAAATTTTAACTGATATTTTCCATTTCTTTAATGGCTATGTCAGAAGCAATGTTTAGAATATTTAAATAATCAGCATGCATGAAAATGATCCAGTCAAAATTGATGCAGTTGGCAGTGTTGGAACTGAGTCCTGGAATTACTCTACTAGAAGATCTTTAAACTTCCATCAGCAAAGGGTGCCCTTCAGGAGTCTATAAACCAGGGGTTTGACTCTTGGCTCGTATCTTACTATCTTATTCACAGTCATGTGGGCAAATTACCCAACATTTCTGAACTTGGTTTCTTTAGCTCTCAAATGGGATAATAATAGTAATCTAACTCATGAGGCTGTTCTCAGAATTAAATGAGATGTTGAACAACCAAATAAAAGGGGGAGTGAAGGGGTAGTTTATGGGGGACTTTAGCTACTAGATCATAGGAAGATCTTCAGGCAGGTATCCCTAAAAGAAGGGTCTGGGTAACCAGAGGGTGCCAAGATATGACCACCCAGGGATGATTCAGGATAGTGGCTATTTATCATTTAACTATAGTTACAACATCTAACTTCTGTGTTAACTACAGAAGTAATTTAATATCTTAACAACTATTTCAGCTAAATCACTGCATACTGGTTAAGTATCAGTCTAGGTCACAGTGTATTTTAGGTTTTCTATTTCTCTCTTGATCGGTTTTGCTAAGGTGTATTTTTTGAATAAACTATTTCATTCAAGTTTTCAAGTATACTGGCATAAAAGTGTATTATACTATATATTTTTTGTCTTTTTATTGTTAAGATTAGTCTTTTGTCTTATTTCTCCAGATGAATCTTACCAGAGAATTGCATATTCAATTGCCTTTTTAAAAAAGCAGGCTTTAAAAAAAAACTTTATTCATATGCATTTTCAATTTCACTAATTTCTGCTTTTATTGTTATTATTTCCATAATCTTTCATTGAGTTTACTCTTTTTTATCTTTTTCCAGTTTTTCTGAGTAAAACGCTTAGTTCACTAATTTTCAGCCTACTGATTTCCCTATGACTTCTTTAATCCATGAATTACTTAGGAAGTGAGTTTATAAATCTCCAAACATGGGAATTTTTACTTACCTGTGTTAATTAAACCATACTGGGGACAGGAAAAATCATTTGTGTGATAACAAATCTTTGATATTGGTTGAAACTTATTTGTAATCTAGTACATGCTCTACTTTTGTACATATTCTAAGTCTGCTTCAGAGAATGTATTCACTATTTGTTGAGAGAATCCTAAATATGCCTAATAAATCAGGTTTATTACAGTAAGATCTCCTATGGTCTTACTAACTTTTTAGTCTATTTTATCTACTAGTAAATGAGAGTATAGTGTTAATATTTTCCACTGAGATGGGGATTCTTACTTTTTTCTTATAATTCTGTCCAGTTTTGCTTTTTATGGTTTGAAGCTGTGTTAGCTTCATTTAATGTGTAGGTTCATTTAAGATTTCTTTTATGTTCTTGTGAAATAAACCTTTTAGTACTTTTTTTTTTTTTACCACTAATAATGCTTTATGCCTAAATTCTAATTCTGCTATTAATGTAGATAAAACTGTTTTTCTTTGATTTCAATTTGCCTATTACTTCTTCCCCATGGTTTTACTTTGACTTTCTCGTTTGCATGTTTTGGGTGTGTTCCTTACAAAGAACATAGTTTGGTTTTCTTTCTTTTTTTTTTTTTTTTTTTAGATTTTATTTATTTATTTGACAGACAGAGAGGCAGGCAGAGAGAGAGAGGGGGAAGCAGGCTCCCCACTGAGCAGAGAGCCCGATACGGGGCTTGATCCCAGGACCCTGGGATCATGACCTGAGCCGAAGGCAAAGGCTTTAAACCACTGAGCCACCCAGGCACCCCTGGTTTTCTTTTTTAATTCGATCTAACCTTATCTATTTTTTTACTGGCTACTTCAGTCCATATGTATTTATTGCAATTATTATTTGGTTTTTCTGCCTACCATATTTTTCTGCTTCCCAATTTACCTCTTTTTAAAAAATGATTTTCCCCCTTCTCTGACTCTATTGGACAGTTCATGTTTTCCTAGCTTTTGTTCACTAATTTAGAACTTACCATTCATATTCCTATTCCAATTTTATTTCTAAATTTTAAAAAAAATCTAAATTTTAACAGGTATGCTTGTCTTAATCTAAAGAAATATGTATAATTCTGCTCAAACAATATGCATAGTTAGAAATCTTTAAGCATATCCCCTTCTTCTCTTTTTATATATTACCTCTGAAAAGAATATTTCAGAAATGGTCCTGATGTATTACTGTATTGTCACTTCCCCATAGCTAGCAACAGGTATATTTTAATTATTTTTCAAACTTCAACTCCTTTTCTTAACAATTTCTTAACTATTTTTTTTAACTATTTTTTTTAATGCATGCACACCCAGCATGCAGCCTAATGCAGGGTTTAATTAACGACCCTGAGATCAAGACCTGAGCTGAGATCAAGAGATGCTTAACCAACTGAACCATCCAGGTGCCCCAAACTCCAACTCTTTAAATAATCAATTTCTCTATAAGGAGACATTTCACTGAAGTGTTTTACAACAGAGTCATCACTGACATTTTAGATGGGACTAGTCTACTGTGCAAAATGTTCCATGCAGGATGTTTAGAAACTCTGATCCCTGTTGACTAAATGCCAGTAGAAATCCTCTCTTTTCCTCCCATAGTGACAACTAAAACGTACCATACATTCCCACTGGGAAACATTCCCAGTGGGAAACTATTTTAATGCATGAAAAAAAGTACAAAAATTACAAAATAAATAGATTTAGAATTGAAGGACTGAAGAATGAAAAACACTTGTTCCACAGAGGAAATAACAAAAATATCTTTCCTTAAATTCCTTAAGTTTAGGAAACTCATCTTATAAACCAGTTTTCATCATTAACTATACTGCTTTGTTTCCTTTCCATTTAATTTTCTCCAAATTTTTTAGTTGCAGGATATGACTAAGAGGAAGTAATAAAAGATGGAATCATTTTTTATTTTTCCCAAAGTCAGGTTTTTCTCCTAAAGAGATATGAAAGCTAAGATAGAACACTGAATTTGTTTACCATTTTAACAAATATTTTGGGGGAGCATCTGGGTGGCTCAGTCAGTTAAGCACCCAACTCCTGATTTCTTAGGTCATGATCTCAGGGTTGTGAGACAGAGACGCACACCAGGTTCTATGCTCAACAGGGAGTCTGCTTGAGATTCTCTCTATCCCTCTCCCTCTGACACTCCCCCACCCCACATGCTTGCTGTCTCTCCCTCTCTCTGTCACATAAAGAAATCTTTAAAAATTTTTTTTGTTGTTCACAATCCTAACATGGTCTCCTATTCACAAACCTGTTGGTGTCCCAAATAATGACATTTCCATCAAATCCTGATGTTACTAAGAGTCTTGTATTAGTATCATATTCGATGTTCTTCACCCAGCTAGTGTGACCATGTAAAGTGCATACTTTGGTGTTCAGTTTTCTCAGATCCCATAGTGCTATTGTAGTGTCATCAGAGCAGGTAGCAAACAGCCGGTTATCAAGAAATCTACAAAGCAGAAAAGAAAAATTGGTTTATTTCATCTCTTGTTAAAGAAAACTTAAGAAACAATCTCTATTTTACCTAATCAAGAAAACAAAGAAAAAAGAACTACAAACTGCCTGTATAAACCCAGTGATATGGATATCAATAAAAAGTAAGCATAATTCACATAATCTCAGGGAAGGACAGTATGATTCAATGAGGACCACAATGTAATTTTATCCATTCGCTTTGTATTACTGATTTTTATTTGGAACTGGATATGGGGTGGATGTTTGAAGAACAGTGCTAGAGAGAAAGAAGAACTTTAGAATCTGTATAGGAAACATAAATGGTAAGAAACTATTTAATAGGAGACCGGAGATTTTGAAGACATAATTGCAGAGGGAGATATGTTAAGCATAAAGGGTTTGTAATTATGAGAACTAGTTACTCTGCTACAAGTAATGTCTTTCTATTTAGAACACATTTACACATAAAAATTGCTAATAAAATGCCATATTTTTAATCTATTAATTCAAAGACATTCCCTCAAAAAATCATACTTAGCAATATTTTATTAGGACCAGTTAAGATTATAAAGTACACCAATAAAATACTCTATAATTCAGACTTTTAATTACTTTACACTAATTTTCAATCCTTAGTGAGAATATATTTTATACAAATAATTAAAAGATAACAGACCTAACAATCACTCTTGAATTTCTTTTATTTCTTTTCCCACACTTGAATTTCTGCCTAATTCAACCTTAGGATGCTTTCTCTAACATATGCTGTTATATATTACTTCCTAATCTCTGGCAGAGAGAAGAAATTCTGGAACTTCTTCCGAGATAAAATTATACTGAATTATTTTTTATCAGAAATCAACCTCAGTATCCATAAATACCGTCACAACCTTCTTTAAACTTAACAGTTTTAAAATTCCAGGCTGTTGTACAAGCGGTTTCTACTACTTGAAACCACTTTCTGCCTACCCCTTGACCTGACACACTTCTTTTCTTTTTATTATTATTCAGCCATCATCCGCTCCAGGAAGACTTCCTTTCCTATCCAGCCTGGGGTAGATTTACCAATCTTCGGATCTCCCAAGGTACTCTATACTTCTGTCATAACACTTAATGTACACTGTAAGGAATAACTTTATAAGGCTATAAACTCCTTAAGACAGGGGAAACAGTCTGCATAGTTCATTGTTAGATCTGTAGTTCACAACATACACAGTGCCAGGCATATAATAAGTACTCACAAATATTTATTATGTGTGAATGAGATAGTAGTTCACTGCCTAGTGGAGAAGAAATTATAAATACATAATTGTACACAATAATTGCATGGAATAAGCAAAGAAAAGGGTGGTCAGGAAATACTTTATGGTGGTCGTTTGAACTGATTTTAAAAGATGAGGCAGGCATTCCCTAAGTGACAAAGGGATAAGCAAAGGTACAGAGGCATGTAAGGGGATGGTATACTCTGAGAGGCAACAGTAGTTAGGAGTACTGTGTACTGAAAAGTAGAGATAAGAGGAGAACATATCATGGATTTATTCTACTTTAAGTCCCAGTATCTTTTTTTAATTCTTTTAATACCTTTGCATTTTTTTAAAAAGATTTTATTTGAGAAAGAGAGAGCACAAGTTGGGGGAGAGTCAGAGGGAGAGAGTGAAGCAGACTCCCCACTTGGCAAAGAGCCTGACGTGGGACTCGATGCAAGGACCCTGGGATCATGACCTGAGCCAAAGGCAGCCACTTAACCAACTAAGCGACCCAGGCAACCCTGAAAATATTTTTCAAATGGAAGGAAGTCTACCATAAAAATAACCACTGTTGGGCGCCTGGGTAGCTCAGTCATTAAGCGTCTGCCTTCAGCTCAGGTCATGATCCCAGGGTCCTGGGATCAAGCCCCACATCAGGCTCCCTGCTCAGTGGGAAGCCTGCTTCTCCCTCTCCCACTCCCCCTTTCTCGCTGTCTCTGTCAAATAAGTAAATCTTAAAAAAAAACAAAAACACTGTTATTGATAGTTAGCCTAATTCTTATATTTCAATAATGTCATGTCATAAATATTTTGCCATGTTATTAAAGATTTATCGACAAAATCATTCTTAATGGCTAGCCATTGTATGAATGAACTGTATCTTTTTTTCTGTTTTAAACTAATAAGCAACTGCTGGCAGTTTATATTGCTTCCAATTTTTTACGGCTTATATTAAAACCACAAAATGGTTTTATTTAGTGTAAAAATTTATGTACTGTAAAAAAGTTTACACTAAAAAACACTATGATGAACAACCTAACAGCTAACTATTAATCACATCCCTTTTTACTTTTCTAAGTACATTCCCAGAAAAACGTATTGCTAAGTAAACAGGGATTTTTAAAAATGTAAGGTTTTTAATATATACAGCCATATTCCAGCCATGTTCAAAAGAACATACCAATATGCAGTACCACCAACAGTTAGGAGTGTCCACTTCTCCAAGCCCTGTCACACAGATATTTTTTAATTCTGCTAAGTGCCCAGAAGAAAAAAAATCTTAAGATGAAACTTCTATTTTTAATCAAGTTGAACGTTTTTCATATTAATTAGATTATTTTCTCTTGTGAATTGCTATTCATGTTCCTTGCTGATTTTCCTACTGTTATATTTTTATTACAATTATTCTCTTTATATTAAAGGTAATATACCTCAGTTTTTCAAAGACAGTATATTGAATATATTTTCCATACACACTTTTATTTATATTATGTGGTTTATATATTTTCTTACAATATCAAAATCTTTACAAATCAAAATTGTCAAGTCCATTTTGCCCCCTATGGTTTTATCTTTACTGATTAGGTTTTTATTTATTTATTTATTTGACAGAGAGATCACCAGCAGACAGAGAGGCAGGCAGAGAGAGAGAGGAGGAAAACAGGCTCCCTGCTGGGCAGAGAACCCCATGAGAGGCTTGATCCCAGGACCCTGAGATTAACGGGAGCTGAAGGCAGAGGCTTAACCCACTAAGCCACCCGGGCTCCCACTGATTAGGTTTTTAAAGTAAAAATATTTTAATGACTTCCTGACAGGAATTAAATGACTGAAAAAAAACACACAATGACAAAGGCTACTGGAAAATCAAACTTTTAAAATAAACTGATCATCATCATAGAGCATCTTCTTACATTTAGAAAATTTAGGGGAAAATAAGATATTTTATTTAGTTTACAGAAAATACTTAATGCACATATGGATTCAAAACCCCAGTGGCATTATACCACCTTAACCCACAGTGATCGACCCTGAGGCTTTAGGCAAGAGAATGATATGATTAGATTAAGAGTTTCAAAAAGATCTCTGAGGTAGCTAGTTTCTAAAACTGTTGGATTTTCATAAAAAATAAAATGAAATGGGGTATCAGTTTTAAAGTTTTTGTCAATAAGGCCATTGAAAAATTACCATTGTTGCATGAAAACGGAAAAATTACCATTTTAATGTCAATAATGTACAAAGAATATAATCTTGGAATAAAAGCTAATAATTCGAATTGAATAAATTACCTTAATGAAAAATTTAACACTTTGACTTTAGTTTTCTCATTTTGCCTTAAAGTTTACCTGTTAAAAATCTTGGTATTGAAGAATCATTGGTGAAGAAAATAGAAAATTATAGAAAACTAAGAATGCTGATTAGGAGATCAGTTAAAGTACCCACACCTGTTATCCTAAAGCAAGCAGATGCAGAGAATGTAAAGTATTAGACAAATCCTTTGAGATTTGGCTCAATCTTCTCAAATTAAAACTCAGTCTAGCCTAATAAGTTAATAATTGTAAAATGTTTTTAACTTTATAGTCTCTAATAACAGGAGACACTCCATCCACACTGAAATCTATGAGTTTATGAATTATAAAACTGCTCCATATGTTTCCATCAAATCCCAACATATGACTCTTAACAGTTCTGGAAACTGGACACTTGGATAAATTGAAGTCTTCATTACCAGAGGAAAACTGGTGAAAGATAACAGCAACTGAAATAGAATTTCCTTAAAATGGGTACCAACATTTCATTGTACATGGAAAGTGTTGTCTTTACCTAAAAACCAGAAGTCATAAAAATTTTTAACATTTATTTTACATTTATATAACTATATGCAAATTCTTAGAATAAGACTAAATTAAGTGTTTAGGTTTTCCTACATAATCTTTCCATTAAAATTATGACAGCAAAATATAGCACCCTTACTTCATATTTGAGCTTTGTACTATAATTAGAAAGAGATCATTTCTATATAAACTTCAAGGGCTTTATTCATTTTCCCAAGGGCCTTTCCTTAGTCCCATGAAATATTCACATAATTCTCTGAACTATCTATCATGTCCCCGTTTCCGTCATTTCCTTTTCTTTAACTGATAACTAGTCTAACTCTATCAGATCCTTATTTGGCAATGATTTTATATGTAATTGACCAGTTTTCTATTATCACTCTCAGGGTTTTGTGAAATTCTATATCCTTTGCAAGGATATTTCCTTGCAAAATTTCATGTTCCTAGTGATGCAAGCACTGCATTTACATTACAGTGTTCGAAGTATATCAGTCAGGAAAAGACCAACAAAGACAGTGGGAGGGAAAAGTAGATCCTGGAATATTTATATAGCCACTGATTTTTTAACTGCCATACCACTAAGTGAATATTCTTATGATAATCTCAAATGTCCTTGTAATCTCTAACCTGGGGGGACCTTGATTATTAAATGGACTCTTAAATCCATATACAGGACCCTCATGAATAAGAAGTAAACCTGTATAATGGGTTTAAGAATTTAAATTACATCATATTTTCCCCTTACTTTTCCCAAGTATGAAACAATAGAAAATACTCTTCCCAACTATCAATATTTTTATTTTACAAGATAAGCAAACCTTAAAAAACTAAGAAATGAACTAGAAGACATTACTAAGTATGTGTAAAATCATTATCTAGGAAATGCATGCCCACATCTCTGAAAAAGAGAGTGAGGT